CTTCACCCTGCAATACTGTGATCACCGCCACCACCATCACCCATTGGGATAGGTAAAAGCGGGCATATTGGTCCAAATGACTGATGACCTGGCTTAGAAACAATGCCAGACCGTCCAGGTTCCCATTGAATGTCACCTGCAAGGGCAGAGGACCCCAGGACATACCCTGGGGCCAAAACCCCATGGGCCATCCAGGACCTTACAGGGCATCACCAGCCTGTGGAGAGCACTGATCCCTGACACTGGCATCCCGCTGAGCCGACAACCCAGCCACTGGAACTGGACCCCTGACAGGGCCTCCGCTTGGAGCCAGAATTGACCTTCTGTCCCACGCAGCCTGCGGTTGTCCTACTGGGATGCTCTCTGATTGGGGCCTCTCACCTGTGCAATGTCATGAACATGTCTGGAATCCAATTTAAGTTTCGGGCTAGCCAATTGGAACCGGGTCTGCAATGTCTGGGTTGGCTGGGGTCCCATTCGTTGCTAGGCCACCATCTCAGGCCCAACCTCCCAACATGGCCACGCAGGGGGATCCTGGAACCCGAACTCTCCAAACCTCTCCCGCGACACATCGATTGTATGCCGCCGTGGCGCCATGGAATAACTCCCCTTCATCCTCGTCCGTTAGGTGACTCTCTCACCACTCAATCAATGGGTGGTCCAAAACATCCGGTGTGTGTGGTTGGCAGGCTGCAAGACCACACAGCTGAGCTATGCCACCACTCTCCTGAGGCTCCTCCCTCCTGCGCTATTCTGGGGACTGACCATGCATCGATTGCCAGCTCTTCTGGTCTGACCTCATGCATCTTGGGCCACACCACCAGTTGCGTGTCACTGTCCACAGCCTCCAGTACTAGTACTGCCACCCCAGCCGCAGCTGGCTCCCCCGCCTCACCTACATTCACCACTGCCTCTGTGCCCTCGGCCATTCCCTTGTACCTGTACAGAATACCGTCAAAACACACCAAGGGTAACAGGTAGAGACAGGAAGAAAGAGCACTGACTTTCTGTCAGAGGTCCTTGCCACACCCCTGGCTCCAACAGGAAACAAGACATTGAGTTCCCAGGTAGATTGGTTTATTGCGGTACACTCTGGCATGCGAGCTCAAAGCTATTGCAAACAACAAGTACGGGGGGAGGAAGGCTGTCACTGCCGCTACTGGTCCCAGCCACTGCTTCCAGACGCCACCGTCTGATGTGCCCTTGCCCCTCCTCCGTCCCGTTAGTGGCATCTGTAGAGATGTTAATATTCAATATATCTTAGAAGATATTTCATACATATAAAACCTCTAGCACAAGAAGATGAAATTAAATTATCACGTCAGTTATCAAGTCAAAAAGCTACAGGAATTAATCGAATATTTATAGAAATATGGCAAGCAACAAAAGGAAAATCAGTAAAGGTCTTATCAAGCTATGGCAGCAAATCTGGAAAACAGTGCACTAACCAACATATTGCCAAAAAAAAAGGAAATATTGCACCACAATATCAAAACCAAAGAAAATAAAAAAGAAATCAATATTGATTGCATCAATAATGTCAAGTGGTAGAATGTGCTTGGAAAAATAAGATCCTAGAATTATTCATTCTCTTCATGCAAAACCTATACATTGGTCAGGAAACCATAATACAGACAGAATATGGCAAAAAAGACTGGCTCCAGATTGGCAAAGGAGTGAAACAAGGCTTATATTTCACCTTACTTATTCAATGCCTATGCAGAATATATATTTAGGGGAGCTGGATTGGAAGAACATGGTTTTTAAAATTGGAGAAGAATCATCAATAACTGTACCATAATGGTGAAAGTGGAAATTATTTGTAAGCTCTAGTAATGAAAGTCAAGATATATAGAGAAAAATATGGGGCTATGATTAAACATAAAGAAGACAAAATTAATGACAACAGGTATAGTAACTTGCCTTACAACTGACAGTGGAGATACTGAAAGAGTGGGTAGCTTCTGCCTTTTATGATTAATTACCATTATAAAGGAACTAACAATCTCCTGGTAGAGTATAATGAGACAGCTTGCAAACGATATTCAGATATTCAGGTGCCATGATGTATCTACACCTATAAAGACCACTCTATGAAACTGAAAGTTGGACTTTTGAGAAAAAAGGATATAAAGAGTATTTATGCTTTTAAATGTTGGTATTGGAGAAGTTTCCTGAGAATATTAATAGTCAAAAAAATATAAAGCATCATCAAATAAATCAACCTGGAGTTCTCGTTCAAGGCACAAATGACCAGGCTCAAATTATACAGGTAATCCTTGATTTATAGCACTTCATTTAATGATTGTTCAAAGTTACAGTGGCTCTAAAAAAAGTGACTTATGATCATTTTTCACACTTACGACCTTTGCAGCATCCCCGTGGTCAAGTGATCAAAATTCAGATGCTCAGCAACTGATTCATATTTGCACTGTCTTGGGGTCATGTGATCCCCTTTTGCAACCTTCTGACAAGTCAATGGGGAAGCCAGATTCACTTAACAACCATATTACTAATTTAATAACTGCAGTAATTCATTTCATAACAGTAGTGAGAAGATTGTAAAATGGGGCAAAACTCACTTAACTGTTTCGCTTACCAACAGAAATTTGGGGCTCAACTGTAGTCATAAATCAAGGACTACCTGTACTTTGGATACATTATGTGAAGACAAACTCTGGAGAAATCTGTAATGCTGAAAAAAAAAGGCAAGAGGATCAGCAGCACAAAGGTAGATAAAATCAGTGGTGATACTACATCACTGGAAGATCTGGAGGAACAGGCTGTGGACAAATGTTCATAGAGAAAATCTGTGTGATCATTAACTTTGACAATATGTGGGAATAATAGGAATAGCAATAGCACTTAGACTTATATACCACTTCACAGTGCTTTATAGCCCTCTCTAAGGGGTTTACAGAGTCAGTATATTGCCCCCAACAATCTGGATCTTCATTTTACCGACCTCAGAAGGATGGAAGGCTGAGTAAATGGCTGGCAATCGGCAGTCAACAGAATTAGTCTGCAATACTGCATTCTAACCACTGCATCACCATGACTTTTATTGTTCTATCCCAGCTTATTGCTATCCTTGTTAACTGCACAAGGACAAAACCCCTGCTACGACAATAGGCTGGAGACTTGCAAACAAAAACAAAAACCCCTTTTAATATTTTTGACAAACCTGTTAAATACAACAAAACTCAAGTCCAAAAGAACACGATGAAAAACAAACGAGAAGTCACAAGAGAAGTCACAAACCAAGATTCCAAGATGCCTTTTTCAAACGGTTGCCTTCAGCAACCAGCACCACCCACACCTCCTCCCTTTATTTAGCAGTCCCAAGGTGGTGCCTCTCCTTGCCGTTTCTTCTTACTTTGGAGGTGCATCATTGACCTCTGTTGACTTACTCTTGCTAATTGACGCCGTCTGCGTGCGTCAATTAGCAAGTCCGTCAGTTGTGATTCTTCCAGCTCTGACTCATGCTCCTCACACAGCTGAGCTTCATCAGAAACACGACTGGAGGGCCCAGGCTCTGCATCCAACTGTGAGTCCTGTACTTCATCAGAGCCTCCCTCTGGCTCTGATGGCCCTTCAAATGCCTCCTCCACCTCCTCCTCAGATTCCTCCGACTCAGCTGTTGGGAGCACAGGCTGGCACGGAATCACAACATTTATAATCTTGGGAGATAGGAGGAGAATCCGCAGCCTAGGTCAGCAGTTCTCAACCTGTGGGTCGGGACCCCATTTGGGGTCGAACGACCATTTCATGGGGGTCACCAAACAATGCAGTCTAATTCTATTGGCTTTCAAAAGCCAATAGGAATTGTCCAGGCTGTCTCTGCCCTGCTGAGCCCGCCAAAAGTCCCATTCTGCAAACGGTGCTGCAAGTTGTCTGCAGCGAAAGCGAGCTGTCTGGAAGTTTCCACCCCTCCTTGCTGAGCAACTACTACTAAAAATGTAAGTAAAAGAGGACCAGGGGTGGGAGGTGGGAGGCCAGCAGGCGCAGGGAGGATTGCTGGCGCGCGTGGGCCCCGGCGGGTGCCTTACCTCCCTTGGGCTGGGCCAGCTGGTGGCCCAGCCGGTGGTCTCCCTGCGCCGTCTCTGCTGCTTTCCAGCTACGTCTCGGCCGGCGCAGGGGGCAGCACCACGCATGCGCGGCGCTCCCGGGCAGAGAAAGTCCTCGACTTACGACCGGTTGGATAGTCCTTGACTTATGACTGGTTTAGTCCTCGACTTACGATCGGTTGTTTAGTCCTCGACTTATGACCGGTCGGGGGTCGCGGCATTAAAAAGGTTGAGAACTACTGGCCTAGGTAATGATCTTCCTCCTGTCTCCCAAGGTCACTTCCACTACTGTTATCTTTAGAGTCAACACCAACATAATGGTATATCACTCAACCACATCTTGCCTATATGTAGGGCATGTACATGTTGAGGATAATGTGTCTCAATCTGTAAACTTTTCTATCTGAACTGGATAACAGGTTGAAGTAATTCATTTATGCCTAATGTTAGGGTGAAGTTCCACTTTATTGGTTTGGCTCTAGGGTAGCCTGTAGCTTAGCATATTGTGTGAAGGAAGCTAGCATAGCATAAATATTTATTAACATTCACCCATTTTTCATTCTGCATGTTTCGATTCTAGTTCTTGATAAAAATTATATAACATTCCTTGAACCAATGCAATGGGCACATCCTTACCCCTCAACAACAGAACTCCAGTCTTGATTGGCATTGTTTATCTCTGTTTCCTTATGCAACTGTTTTTATGGTAGTCATAGTGAGTGGTGTATATTCTTTATTGTTTACTCAGGCTGGTGCCATTTCAAAGGCTTTGGGCAATTGTCAGGGCCTGGCTGCGTTTAAACAAAAACACTAACCAACTACATTTGATGTGAATTGTGCCAGTAGAATTCCAGTCATTTTATGATTCAATGTCTCATACAAACCCACGAAGTTGCGTTGGAAAAGCCATAAGTAGGTATCAGAAGGCAGGACGTAACCTCGAATGCAGTACTGTACAGCAGAGCTACCATAAGCATAGGTCAGGATCGTGTGCACTTGGAGGGAAAAGAATTGCAGACTCTTCTTAATCGAGGAATGAAGTCTAAGTCTAAGCGAAGATAAGGCAGACTATCTTCTTATGGGCCGCAATACAGTACCATCTTCCCGCGCAGGATAATAGAGGGACTTCCTTTGCCCCATCTTGCTGCGCCGGTTTCCCACAGAGAGGGGGCGGCCGAGCCAGCCTAACCCAACCGGAGAGAATGGTCGGTGGCAGCGGACGCCATTGGGTTGCTATGCAGTGAATCCCGCCCTCCAAAGTCTCCGCCCTGAAAGCGGGTGACTCGGCCGGCGGTACGCAATTCTTCCCGCTGGATTTCCCCTCCCCGCGGGATTGGGCTGTCCTGCACCGCTCACGCGCTCGGCTGCGGTGGCTGCTTTGGCGGGGAAGGAGGAGTTTGGGAGAAGATGAAGGCAGCGGGCAGCAGCTGAGGCGAGGCGAGGCGCAACGGAAAGAGCAGCTCGCGGGGTTTCTTCTCCAGCAAAGGGAATGGCTTACGCCGGGGCGGCGGGAGACGAGGAACCCACGCCCGGCACCTCCAGCCGCAGAGAGGATGAGGGCTACGGCGGAGGCCAGGCGGCCGCGATGCTGCGGGAAGCCCTCTCGCTGGAAGAGATCCTCAAGCTCTACAACCAGCCCATCAACGAGGAGCAGGCGTGGGCCGTTTGCTACCAGTGCTGCGGCTCCCTCCGCGCCGGGGGTCGCCGCGGAGAGAGCTTGATCCGCCGAGTCGAGAGCCCTGCCGACATCCGCATCTGGAGAGATGGGACCGTCACTTTGAATGGAAGCGCCGCCGCCGCTCGAAGCTCGCCCAGAGCAGGTAAAGGTGGCGCAGTCTTAGCCTCAGCCGGTCCTCGCTGGAGGGAGAAGCTCCCAGCCGGGTGACTTCCCTGCTCGGCGCGTGGCCGCTATGGTGCTTTTTGCGAGGATCCGATTCCCTCCCTCTCGCCCCTTTTCCCCCATTTGCTCTCATCTCCTGTTCTTGCTGCTGGATCTGGTTAGTCAGTAGTGTATAAGGGGCAATCTCATCCTACCTTCAGCCCGCCGTCCATCAGCATTTCTTCATCCGTTTTTTTAAACTTGTTGCTGTTTTTTTAAAGGAATGTGGATTGCCTCCGTTAGTGAAATTTCCCTCCCCTCCCTTGTCTTCCCTTTTTTTCTACAGTACAAAATTGCTTCTGTTTATACAGCTTGTACTAAAACTGTTCCACTTAGCATTTCTTCTCCATCCCTCCCCCCTCGCTATAATAACACGCATCTTTTTTCACATGAAAAAAGGAAGAGTTCACCATTTTGACATCCTTCCCCCCCCCCCCAATGCTGCATTATGGCTGATATATAGGCGAACACTTTTGAGTCTGCAGGGTGGCCTGAGGAAATGATTTGTACATTTTGGAATAAAGGACCTAAACATTGTGCAATTGCAATGTTATTTTCATTACCACAATATGGATGACTATAGTTGATTTCAATAGACAGCCTGTATCTCTGTATGTTTACCAGCATTGCTTTGGCTTTTTGTTTAAGCTAGACTTTTCTTTGCTCTTACTTGATGAAAGCCTGGAAAAGAAAGCGATGCAAAGCTGCCCATATAGGTCAGCATGATGGTGGGGGAGGGCACTGCAAAGCAAAACAAAGAGAGCAGCTGTCAGAGTCCCGGCATGCTGTTAGCAGAGGTTTTAATGACTACTAGCTCTCTATCTCTGTGTGTGTATGTATTACATCCAGGCAAATCAGGTTGCCTAATAATTTGAATATAATTCTATGAATATAGCAGAATCTACATCCTGATCTTATAATGTGCAGTATTTCATATGGAAGAAATTTATCTTCATATTCTAATGTGTATAAATCAGTATTATATATTGAAACTAGAATATGGAAAGCAAGCTGAGAATGAACACAGGAAATAAAATATGACTTGTTAAATTCCTCTATCAAGAGTGTACTTATGGACAATATGCCAGACAGGTTCAGTAATTATGTATAATTTGCTCTTCATGTATGTGAGTAATAAAATGCCATATTTATTTAGTTGTGCTTGGGTTAGCATCTGACTATAGTAGTCATTATAAACATACTTTTAAAAGTCATGTCAACATCCTAAACTAATGCCAACTCAACATAAGATCATTCTGTCAATAAACAGATTATGCCTGGTTTTTTGTCAATCAGACACCAAATAAGAAATGTGACATGCTATGTATCATAAAGATCCTAATTTTAAAATGGACAATTAGTGAACACAACAGAGCAAGAACTAATAAGACTTCAAATTGGGGGTAACTGAATTTGATATATGGATTTTATGATCTATTTTATGGAGAATAATAGGAGAATTTACTATAGTTAATATCTGTAAAATTGGCCCCTCATAATCATCTTAAAATGAATTAATGAATTCTTAAATTCTAAAACGCATGTTACATGAACATTCTTATATTAACAGGCTGGAGAACATACTAACTCTACATCACAAGCACAGTAATTGTATTTATGATGCATTTCCATGACTGGGATCAGGGCACAGAGTTTTCAGCTGAGGGGTAGTTCCTTCTATTCAGGTTTTTATACCAATGCAGTGAATAACAAAAAGAAGAATTCCTCTTAGGACTGGTTTATAATACTTGAAATAGTAACTATATTCCTTGTGTCTTCTTTCTTTTGGGTATTATATTACTAACTTCCATATTAGAATATCTTTATTAGGCTAACTAAGATTTAAAAAAAACATGGAAACTCTGGAGATCTCCATAACAAATAGGGCAAAAAAAAGTCTGAAGGTGTGCAAGTGATTATTTTTTCATCAACAGACTCCTAAAATTAAATATGGAAGAACACTGCAGGCATTCTAATTAGGCTGAGTTTATGTTATGAGTTTCAATTTATAGCCAGTATTTCTGTAAAGATCAAAGAAAATTTCCCTTTTTAAAAAAAATGTAACAATGTGGAATGTTTATGGTTGCATTTAACAGAGCATGTTGTTTATATTCTTGTTAATACTTTCAAAACATGTCAGTGTTACGAAGGGAGCTAAACAGATTTTTGACAATCCCCAGTAAATTGATTCGGTAATATTATCTATTTTAAAGTTGTACTTACAAAGCATTCTAATATATAAAATTTATAACGAGACACTGTAACATCAAATATATTATGCTCTGTATCAGTTAGAAAGATTGCCAGACTTTGATAAATTAGACACACATTACAAGTAGTCCTCGACATACAACAGTTCATTTAGTGACCGTTCAAAATTACAACAGCACTGGAAAAAGTGACTTTTGGCTGACTGATTCATATTTATGAGGGTTGCAGTATTCCCAGGTCATGTGATCATACTTTACAGCAAAATTTATATGGAACCAGATTCGCTTAACAGCTATGTTACTAATTTAACAACTGCAATGATTCACTTATCAGTTGTGGCAAGAAAGGTAATAAAATGGGACAAAACTCACTTAACAACTGTCTTGCTTAGCAAGAAAAATTTTGGACTCAATTGTGGTTATAAGTCAAGGACTACTTGTATTTCATTTATATAATTTATTCAGCATTTTAATTTAGAAAGGTTTAAAAATTTCTGCGATCATCACAGAAAGATCTCAACATTCCTATACTATTATTAATCCAGATCCATCAAAATGAAATTTAAGCCACGGGTTGTTTAGTGGATTATTAAATAACCCATAATTGGTTGAGATATTATTGTTTACAAATGGGCAGTTCACATAACATACATAATCAGACAAAAGATACTACAAATGGGTTAACTTAGTCTTAAAATTTTCTAAACTAAAATAAATATTTTATAAATAATTTCTTTAAAATAAAAATGTAGCAATTGGTAATGAAACCATGTGGTAGTGAAAAATAAACTTATAAAGAATGTTAACAGATAAATAACGGTAGTAAGTTTTAAATTACCATGTGAGTACAATTATTTTTGAGGTTGAATATAAAGGCTTTGGAATAAACATGGAATTGCTCTCATAGCAATGTCTGTATTGGTTCTTTTTCTTAATCTAAAAAAAGGGAAGAAAATACAAATATTTGTCTTCATTTATATTGATGAAAGGAATGTTGTGAATCAAATGCTTCAATCTTTTCTTTGAAGATTATATATGTCATAACATTCCACCAAAAAGTTAAGTGAATGAAGTAAAGTTTGCTGGGTTAAAGAAATTCAAATACTTCAAATAAAGCAAGTCATGTCATCTTACAAACTTCAAGAGAAAGAAAATTGCTAGGAAATTTGAATTTCTGGGATATTCATTCTTTTGAGAAGATGGTATTAATATAAAACACATAGCAAATAAATCTCACTTTAGTATAACCATTCTGCTTGGGGTATTTGCCTTTCCGGCTGCCTTTTAGAGAAGGAATTCCACTATCCTGTCCTATCTTTCATGTCTCTGTAAGCAAGTCATTAGAATGTGCTGAGTTGAAAGAAAAAAATTTACTTGAGGAAAATGAAGTTCATATCTTTTTTGCATCATATCTTTTTGCATCATTCCCCCAGGTGAAGAATGTTGAAAGAAAAATTAGGGAAATTGAAAAACAAGAGGTATAAAATGTTTTTAAAATATAAGCTGTACACATATAGTTTTATAGAGTTTTTGCAATAGTATTAGGGGCAAGCTTGGAGATTGGGGTTGGGGGGGGGGAATTGATTTTTCATTTTGTTCCCTTGACAGTTTATGAACTCTTAGAAGAGAATATGATTGACTGTCTAGGATCAACAAAGTAGCATATATTAGGAAGTAAGAATTCAGAGTCACATTTTCTTGCAAATCCAGTTTCTTTTAATATACTATAAAGCCCAAACTTCTACATGTTCCATTTTCTCTCATTAAAATATTGCTGTCCAGGCTATAAGCAGAGAACTTGTATAACACGAAAGATGCACTGCAGTAAACTGCCTGAAGAACAAATTACTGTAGTCCAGTAATTTCAGGATTAGTCTTTTTTTAAATCACCGTTTTGCATTAAATGCTAAAGGTGTTTTTTTAAAATAAAATACCTGATGTAAAGCTGCAGCATCTCAAATAAATGAATAAATGCATCTGTATTCATACAATATGCTAATTTATGATTATAAGTTCAGTTCCATGGGATTGCATAATTCATTGAACCATAAATTTATAATAGTCCTTGGATTCACACTGCACAGATTAGTGATCACATTTTAGCATAGTGTGTGGTGTGAATACAGCCTTCAGCCTGACTCTTATCCATCATTGCTAAATGAGATAATCATTCAATTTATAAAGTATAGTATAACTGGAACAGGGCACCAACTTGGGATAATTGCCATAATGTTTAATATATATGACTGTTCTGACTTAATTTTACTGATTAGTAGTTCTGAAAATAAACTCCCCCACCCCTCCATTTTTTCTTTATGGGGAAATTTATATTTATCTTTGGCATAGTCTGTCCCTTTTTCTTAAAATTCCTATTTCTTGTTTTTAGTACAATATATAAGAACATGAAAACTGACAGTTTTAAATGTAGTCGGCACACTAGATTGCAGTCTGAGACAGTATAAATCCTCATTAATGAGATGTGGCCAGTGGTGGGATTCAGCTGGTTCGCACCACTTCGGCAGAACCGGTAGCTAATTTTTTGTTGCCCAAGCCCAGAATGGACTTCCGGAAGCGGCATTCACACAGAGAACCAGTTGTTCACATATTTGAATCCCAACACTGGATGTGGCCTTGGTCACGTACAGAATTAGTTTACCCCAATTGCTTCCTCTCCTTCTGAATCATGCAGCTAGCAATGCGGCCCCACAAGATCATAAACTTTAAAAATTAT